GGGGGGGGGGGGGGTATTGAGATAGAGGCAGACCTTTTGGCATTGTATAAAGAGGATTATTGAGTAAGAAGAAGAGAAAAATAGGGAAGGGAGAAAGATTGAAAATGGTCAAGAAGCACTGTGTGTGTTTATCCGTTCTTCCAAACATACGTAACCATTACACATAAAAAAGTAATGTAAACACAAACTCTTCACATAGATGTACCACTTGCTAAAATTTAGGCATGATAGTTTTCTCGGTTGACTGGTGCCAAACCCTTTTGAATAATATTCAGTCAGGGATGTTACAGTGTTACACTTTGGAAATTTAACAGTAAGATAGTACTGTAATCAAATATAGACTCTACCTGGGAGTTTTTCTAGTTCTCCCCTAAAATATTCTTTATTGCTTTTAGTACAATTATTTATTGCATCTAGTTGCTATGATAGGTTTTATTTTTAAAAATCACATTGATGTAGAGAGAGGTTGTAAATGAAAGTAAACCAAATCATAGAACATATTTTAAAATATTCAGGGTCATAAGTGAACTGCGTTATTTTGGCATGTTTTTATTAGAAAGCAATATTTGTACTTTGATACTGTTTAAATCCATAACCAAAACATAGGAAAGAACTAGTCAACTTTCAGATTATCCATATTTGCCTAGGAGCTGCTGTTTTGAGAATTCCTGTTCTGTATGGGGAGGTTGAAAAGCTCGAAGAAAGCGCTGTCACTGTTATGTTTGATAAAGTGCAGTTCAGCAACAAGTCTGCAAACATGGACCACTGGCAGCAGAGGTTCCCCACTCATGTCAAGGATGTAGCCACTGTGTGTCGGCAGCTGGCGGAGAAGAGAATGCTGGTAAGAAGGACTGGAAGGGAGGGCTTACTGTAGCGCAGTGAAAGCCCACTGTGTTTTCTCTGCCTGAACTCTTGGAGTGTTTCAGAGGGAAAGTTGAAGGTACTTGTATACAATTTTCTTTTTTTGGGTATTGGGAGTCAAACTCAAGACCTCATGCTTGTCAGACAAGCACTGTGCCATGGAGCTGTTTCCCTGGCCCCAATATGGAACTACTTAAAAGTATTTTTTAGGGCCGGGGAGATGGCTCTATAGAATAAGTGCTTCCCTGGCAGGCACAAGGGCCTTAGTTCAATCCCCAGTTCTGCTTAAAAAAAAAAAAAAGTTGTTTTTTTTTCCAAAGAGACCAGAAATAGTTTCAAGATAGTAGACTATATTAATAAGGAATGAAAAATAGTAAGTTTATTGTATTGCAAGGTAAGGGAAACGTCATATGTGTTCTGAGGGAACATATTCATCAGCTAATATTTTGTTTGCTGATTAAGTCATACATAGGGCTAAGCAGGCATCTAAGGAATTTGTCAGTTTAGTTACAGTTAAGAATGTGCCACGTGTTCAGGCTTGGTGGCTCACACCTAGAATCCCAACACTTGGGAATCTGAGGCCAGCTTGGCTACATTACATAAGTTCAAGGACACTGCATTACATTACGAGACCCTGTCTCCAAAGGAAAAGGGGTGATGAATATGGTGAATGTTTAAACAGGTTTATTTCATTCAAAGACGTTACCCCACCCTACCAGTACTTCTTTGAGGGCCAGCAGGATAGCTCAGCGAACTAAAGTGCCTACTTAGGCAAGCACAGGGACTGCGATACCTGACAGGTTCGATATCTGATACCATATGCTGCGCCAGCCCTGCTCCCAAGATCGGCTGAGCTGGCCACATAGTCTGAGTGTAGTGGCACATGCTGGGGAGGTTGAAAGCAGGAGGATCACCATGAGTCTGAGCTGTGTAGTGAGACTCTGCAACAACCAAATAGAAGGCCCGGGAGATAGCTCAGTCGAATAAGCACTTGCCTGGCAAGCGCAGGGTCCTGAGTTCAATCTCTGGTACCGCAAAAACAAAACAAAACAAAACAAAAAACCCAAAAACAAACACATTAAAAAAAGAGAGAAAGAAAAAATACTCCTTTGAACACTTACCTGATTTTTCTTGGGGGGACGGGTTCTTGGAATAGAACTCGGGGCCTCATGCTTTCCAGGCACATGGCACATGTCTGAGCTAAATCCCAGGCTACTTCATTGTTATTGTTGCTTTCTAAAGCAGTTCTTAAGTCCTCTGTCTTGTACGCATTAGTTCACCTTTCATGGTTGCCTTAATGTCCTGAATTGATTTGCAGCTTTTATGCTTACTGGTTATTTTGACTTTTGGGAAGAACTCCCACTCTGCCAGATCCAGTGAATAATGTGGGTTGAGGACACACTAGAAGCCCATCTTCCTGCTGGGTGGCATTTGGAGGCAGCAGTCACTGAATTTGTGATCATACCTTGCAGACACATTCAGGAAAGGGGGTATTCTGAGTTGCTTCAGAAAGAGGCAAGAATGATGGCCTAAGTGGGTTCAGAGTAAGGGAGGAAGCATGAAAGGGATTAATGGCATAAGTCCTTCCCTGACAAGTGCAAGGACCTGAGTTCAATCCCCAGTTCCGGAAAAAAAAAAGAGAGAGAGAAATGGTCCTACTAGTGTTGGTTTTAGTTTAGCATAATTTGAAACACTCATTGAATTTTGGAGTGTGTTGTGTTTTTTTTAGAACCAGGATTTTAACTCAGGCCCTACGCTTGCCAGGCAAGCACTTACTCTACTGAGCTATCTTCCCAGCCCCTGGAGTGTGTTCTCATGAAAATCTTTTTTTTTTTAATCTCTTAATATGTTTAGGATTCTCATGAATGAAGCAAAATTGGAGCCTTTTATATTTTTATATTTATATTTTAATTTTAAACATTTTTATAAGGCTAAATTATAAAAATTCTGTATTGCTTTTAGAATGTTTGGAAGTTTTACTTTTTTCCTTTTTGACCTTGAACTCTGTAGCCTAGGCTGGCCTCCAGTAAGTGCTGGTATTACAGCTGTGGACCACTACAACTTAGCTGAGAATATTTTTAGGAATTTATGCATTTTGTGGAAAGCCTGCCAGAACAGGACAGTTCTTTTGTTGTTCTTTGAACTTTTAGATTAGCTTTATTGTCTAACCTGTCATCCCACTCCACTCAAAAGTTTGAAACCATATTGGAGTTTTTGTGTCCTCCTTCTTAGGATCCGTCAATTAAGGGAACATTCCACTGGTCTGGCAATGAGCAGATGACAAAGTATGAAATGGCGTGTGCGATCGCTGATGCTTTCAACTTGCCCAGCAGCCACTTACGACCTGTGAGTTTTGGCATTTGAGACCCTCTGGCTTCCTCAAAGTTCAGACTCGTCCTTTGAGTGTATATTACTGATAATATTATTTTGGATGCTATGAGCATGTTGGGTAACATCTTTCTCAGTGCCAGTTGCTGAACTTTGTAAACTTGCTAGTCTGTCCCTGGTCTGTGAAGTACTAAGTATTGGTGGCTCAGAGACGTGCTGTCTTGATGATGGCAGACAGTTTGCAGCATGTCCTGGTGGGCTCTTGTGTTAAGGGCCAAATAGAATAATAGCCTCAAGATGTGACTCTTTGTTCACTTTTCATTGTTTTGTTTTTATTTTTCTTTAAAGATTACTGACAGCCCCGTCCTAGGAGCACAACGTCCAAGAAATGCTCAGCTCGACTGCTCCAAATTGGAGACCTTGGGCATCGGCCAGCGAACACC